AATCTGGGAGGTACTGACAAACCGAAACCCCGAGAACTACAGGCCCATCTTACTCGAAGTCACGGGCAAAGTCTTCCAAAGTATAATCTCAAACACACTGAACTACTACTACATGGAATTCAACCATCTATTCTCTGAAAGGCAGTTCGGCTTCAGGTCCCACCGCAGCACACAACATGCGATAAATATCATCTTAGATGCCGTGGCCAGCCTGAGGAAGCAAGGGAACCTGGCCCTGATTGCAACTAGGGACGTACACAAGGCCTTCGACAGCCTGTGGCACGGCGGACTCATTTTCAAACTTGCAGACCTCCCAGATCACAACTGGACCTTTCTCAGGCTCATATACAACTTCTTAACAGGTAAAAGTATCATTCCCACCTTCCATGGTATGGCAGCAACACCCTTCACGCCGACAGCTGGAGTACCACAAGGCTCTTGCCTCAGCCCTGTACTCATCAATATATGTCAGCAACCTCCCCCAGCCTGAACACAATGATGTACCTTTGATATACCTTTGAAGAATTTCGAGAGTATATCTACTCTGAGCCCGGCCATGGGCCAGGTTCGTCTGGTGCTTGCCTGGTCAACCAGGCTGTTGCTGCTGGAGGCCTGCTGCCCCACATATCCATCACAACCTGGTTGATCTGGCACCTGATGAAGATACTTGTCTAGTTTCCTCTTGAAGGCTTCTACACTTGTTCCAGCAGTGTTTCTGATATCTTCTGGTAAGATGTTGAAAAGTCTGGGACCCCGGATGTTGATACAGTGTTCCCTTATTGTTCCCACCGCACCCCTGCTCCTCACTGGGTTTATTTTACACTTCCTCCCATATCTCTCACTCCAGTATGTTGTTATGGCAGTGTGCAGATTTGGGACCAAGCCCTCGAGTACCTTCCAGGTATATATTATCATGTACCTCTCTCTCCTCCGCTCCAGTGAGTACATGTTCAAGACTTGCAGGCGTTCCCAGTAGTTTAGGTGCTTTACTGGCTCAATGTGAGCCGTAAACGATCTCTGTATTTGTTCCAGCTCCGATATTTCTCCTGCCTTGAACGGGCCCGTCAGCACTGAGCAATATTCTAAGTGAGGGAGCACTAGCGATTTGAAGAGTGTCACCATCGGCATTATTTCCCTTGTTTTGAAAGTTCTCAATACCCACCCAGTCATCTTCCTGGCTGTTGTGATCTTTGTCTTGTTATGGTCTTTAAAAGAAAGGTCCGCTGACATAATTATTCCTAGGTCTTTTACGTGTTCCTTACGTTCTATTTGGTGACCCTCTTGAGTTTTGTATATAGTGCTCCTTTTGAGTTCTTCATTCTTTCCATACCTAAGCACCTGGAACTTATCACCATTGAACGTCATGTTGTTTTCCACTGCCCACTGGAAAACCCTGTTTATATCTTCCTGTACTTTTTCAGTGTCCTCTACCGTACTGACTTTCATGCTTATTTTAGTGTCATCTGCAAATGATGATACAAAAGTGTACCGGGTGTTTTTGTCTATGTCTGCTATGAGGATGAGGAACAGCATAGGTGCCAGAACAGTGCCTTGGGGCACTGAGCTTTTTACCTCGCTGACACTGGATCTTGCTCTGTTTACTACTACTTTTTGTGTTTTGTGTGTTAGGAAACCGAAAATCCATCTGCCTACCTTCCCCGTAATGTCCATGGCCTTCATTTTGTGCGCTATCACTCCATGATCACATTTGTCAAAAGCCTTTGCAAAATCTGTGTAAATCACATCTGCGTTTTGGTCGTCTTCCAACGCCGCCGTAATTCTGTCATAATGGTTCAGCAACTGTGACAGACATGATCATCCCGCTCTAAAGCCATGCTGGTTCGGGTTGTGCTGGTTGTGCTGGTCCATGAAATTTGTAATCTACCGTCTCATCACTCTTTCGAAGATTTTTATGATGTGAGAGGTTAGGGCTACTGGTCTGTAATTTTTAGCTAGTGCTATACTACCTCCCTTGTGCAAAAGAGCTATGTCTGCACTCTTTAAGGCCTCCGGTATTTCACCTAGATCTAAGCTCTTTCTGCAAAGAATACTGAGGGCTCGTGCTAGTGGTATTTTCCACTTCTTTATAAATAGAGCATTCCATGAATCTGGTCCAGGTGCTGAGTGAGTGGGCATGTTTTCCATTTTTTTCTGGAAATCTATGGGATTTGTACTAATGTCAGATAGTTGGTCTTTGCGGCCTTCTTTTGAAGTGAAAAATATTTCTGCATTTTCTACCTTGCTGTCATTTAGTGGGTTGCTGAACACCGACTCATACTGTTCTTTTAGGATTTCACTCATTTCCTGTTCGTCGTCAGTATATGAGTCTCCTCTTAGTGGTCCAATTCGACAGGTAGTTCTTAGCTTGGATTTTGCATAGGAATATAAATATTTTGGGTTTCTTGCAATATCCTCTATGGCCTTTTGTTCCCTTTGTACTTCTTCTGTCAGGTATGACATCCTAAGTTTTTGCTCTAATTCAGTGATCTCTCTGCTAAGTCTATCGTTCCTCTGTTGTAGCATATTTGTGTTTTTAAGCAGTTCAGTAACCCGTTTTCTTCTTCAGTACCATCTCCTACGCTCTCTATATATCTGATCTTCCTCTCGGTTTCCTCAATGGTACATGTTTCATACATACTTTGTATGCTTCTGTATTCAGCTTCTCTAGGTACTGGTGGGGATTTAGGGTGCTCGTGTCTGATTCCCAGGATATGTCTGACAGCTCTGGGTTTATTTTTTCCCAGTTAATTCTATGGTTGTTAAAATTAAACTTACTGAACATCCCGTCTCTAACTTTAGTGATGCAGTTTCGTACCCCTGAGTTAATACTAGTTTGAACCTCTATGATGTTATGATCGGAGTAACCAAAAAAGTGAACCTAGCAAAAGCCGCCTCGGCCAACTTTTCCGATTCAATGCAAGCCCCCTCCCACATCAAGAAACAACTGTACAAGATGATGATCAGACTTCTGCTAGAATACCCTTGCGTATCCATGTCACTAACTAAAATCAACATGCTGAATCTCCAAAGAGTCGAAAACAGAGCCCTCCGCTTCATCACCGGCACCAGATTCAGAGACAGAATCAGGACGGAAGACCTGCACATACAACAGAGAATCACTGCAATTAACGTCAGGCTAGACAAACTAAAGAAGAGACAACTATATGACATGCAGAAACTCTGTGCACCTGACTGAGAACCCACCCCAACCACCGAACACGACCGACTACACCATCAACACCCCTACAGATCCCAAAGAATGACCCTCCAACAAAGAGTCCGACGCTTCATCCACAAGGAGAACTTCCCCCAACCAAGAATCCTGAGTGACCTCCCTGAAATAGAATGGATACCACCAGAACCATTCTACGTCCAGTAACATGGATTAACGCTCCCCAATTCTGGGTGACCCACTTCTGTCAATCAACACCTTACAACTAACCTACAGCAGGACACCACCTCAGAAACTGCTTAGCCAACCAACTCCAGGTGAGCAACCACCCTCCATCAAACGACCTGCAATTACCACCTGCAGCTGCAGCCTTACGACCGACTCTTGCGCAAAAAAACAAGGGGAATAGCAAACAGTATACATCCTTCCAATTCAGTGGCACACCGGTATACAGCTGGTATAGCAGTGTGCAACTGACGGGCAGGAGGTATACCTATCTTATGAATTCAACTTTTTCACGAATTACACAACATACACATACACGTATTTAAATTGCACCAAATTGGATGGGCCACTTACCTTTAAAACCCCATCTCCCCCTCCACTCTCCCAAACCTTTCCCACATTCCATCCTTCCCCATCCTTCTTCCTTCCCCATCTTACCAAAGCTCTGGTCAGAACCTTGCACCTCGCACTGACAAATTTTTGAGTTTCGTTCATAAGGAATTCATTAGGATTATAAATGTTTAGTGTGGTGAGCCGCTCACTGAACACAGAGTCATACTGAAACTTCAGTATTTCATTTATTTCTTTGTTGTCTTCAGTAAAAGTTTTATCTTTGAGCAAGAACACAACACTCTGGGTGTGGTTTATTCCCAGGTTTTTGCGTATGAAAAGAAATGTTTTGGATTTCTTTCAGTTTTAATAATGATTTTCAGTTCTGTGTGTCTCCCCCGGATTCTATGTGATTTATTCAATTTAAATTTAGTTTCAAGAGTAAGTATGAGTAGGCTCTGGAGGCCAGGAATCAGCAGAGTCAGAATGATGACAAGTAAACATGCAGACACAGGGAAACACGGTGGCACAGCAGTAGACACTTGGGACAGACTACCAAGTGACAGTGGAAACTTAAACAATCCATATCTTCAAAAGCTGAAGTAAGTCAGTAAGCCAGAGTAAGTCAGTCAGCGTAAAGCTAGGAGATGGCCCAAGAGCCGAAGCTCTGCACCCGCAAGTAACTTCGTATTTAAAACATCTGCAATCAGAAAAGACAAGTGGTAAATAGCATGTTGACAGTTTCTACTGGGAGCTTGGGGAACTTAGCTTCAAAGCAAATATAGTTCAATCACATTTTCTGGGACATCGCTGCTCCTTCCCCTCTACAGTATATTTACCTCTGTCAAAACTTGTGTTGTACTTGTGTTGTGTGTACACCGTCAACCTTTGTCAGGTTAGTTGTCTGGGAAAAGAGGAAGAGAGGTCATATTAAGGCAAACTAAAGTGTCTTCATAAAGCACCAGTAATGCACCCCACGGAGGAATATTTACCCTGTCGACAGATGGGTGGTAAGTGTCATTAAGAGGGGGACAGGAGGGCGTTTAGGGTAGACTAAAGTGCTTTCATAAAACACGGGTAATACTCCTTATGGAGGAACGTATATCATTAGTCAACATGTGGGTACCCTCAGGACGTTATGAGATAGAGGGAAGTGACGGGGAAGGCTGCTACACACCTCTGCCAGGTAGAGGGAGGGGGGAAAGGGTGGGAAATATCTGGGGTGAGTGTGTGAGGCTGGCGGAAAGTTAGCTGGCAGTGGCAAGCTGGCCGGCAGAATGTGTGTTGGTCTGGTTTGTGAGACAGTGGCAGGCGGGCCACCACCGGCCCACCAATCTGTTTACGGCCCTCACCTGAAGATTCTCCTAACCAGTTCAAGTTATATATGTATATATATGTTTAAATCGCTGATGGATTAAAAAAATATGCAGTGATTTTTACGATTTTATAGTTTGTTCAGTACTGTGAGTGCTCACGTCTGTATATAATTTTTGGCTAGACATTCTCATTCGGATGTCACTGTTGTTAAAGTATGAATTGGCCGTATGAATCGCCACTATTTGTTTATATGTTAGTGCAGTGTTTACAGATGCATATGTTATAATTATAAATACATGAACTAAACTATACAGTATTATATGGTATAGTTAAGAGTGCTGGTGCTCACAGCTCAGCATGGGCTGAACGAAGGTGATTCAAATTGGTGTTGAAACAGTAATATTTGCTAAAAATGTAGAAAATATTACTACTACCACTACTTATAATAATTATACTAATTCACTAGAGGTTTATGCGAAGGAAATATTGGGATGTATATTGTTTCAGGAGACCCTTGATAGTGTGTGTGATATTGACCAACAGGTCCGGGTCATCCAGATAAATGATAAAGCCTGTAAATAGGCCTGTGCGTGGGCGTGAGGCGTGGGTGTGAGGCGTGGGCGAAGGAGGATGAACTCTGGTTGGCGGCTGGACTGGCGTGGGTCGTCAGGATCACTATGGAGCCGTGGACGGGAATGTAGGGGACCTGATAGCCTCGACTTACTGAACGGTGCTCGTCACGTTCCTCCCTCAGGCAGCTCTCCCAGAGGTGGTGGTCGCCCGCGACGCAGTGGCTTCCGTAAGCGATTCCTCTCCCTGACGGAGGGTCTTACCAACTTCTTGACGGGGGAGAAGAAGGATAAGCAGCCAACGAAGCCCTCCAACTTCCGCCCCTTCGACCACTCGACAGATCTAGAACTCAGTAACTCTGGGTACTGCTCAGACTACAGCTCTGACTGTCGTACTGAGCACATACGCAAGAATAGTAACTCCAGCCTGTCCTCGTTCAAGGACTTACCCTCCAGTCTGGTATCATGGGTAAGCCCCGTCAACGGGCGTCCGTCGGGGCACGTGATGAATCCTGGGGCCCCAAAAGTTTTATCCAAGAGTCAGGGTTCTGTGAAGGCACCGCCAAGTCCTCCCCCTCGACGCTTCTCTCTGTGGGCCATGGATGTCCACTTCGACCACTACTACTTCCCCGACCCTCTCCACCCTAATGACTCCATCACGTATGAGCCACCCGCCCCACCTCCGCCGCCCCCACCCTCCATATGTTACTATAACCTGGCGCCGCCCAAATCACCGCTACTAAGCCGCCAGAATTCCCCTAGGCCGCGTGCGCCTACTCCATTATCAGCACTGAAGCGGCCCCGCACGCCACCCTCACCCCGCGCCCAGAGTCCCTTCAGGAGCTGTACGCCGCCTACGCCCCGGGTAACGACGCCCATAGGGTCCCCGGTGATGCGGGGACGCAGCTTGTCCGACAGTCGCGGCACCGATGTCTCCCGTGCCGCGTCCGAGACTCGAACCCGCGAGTCTCGCGCGGCTTGGTACCGGCGCAAGTCACAGGCCCGCAGGCGCGCCCACTCACGTTAGTATCCACACTTATTAGTGTCACACCTGCTAGTGTCACACCTGTTAGTGCCATACCTGTTAGTGTCACAAATGTCAGTGCTACATCTGTAAGTGTCATACTGATTTATGTTACCTGTTAGTGGCTATATCTGTCAGCGGTCACACACCTGCACGTCGGTGGCTACATTGCTCCGTAGTTGTAATTATTCTTGGTCAAGATGTGTGGCCAGACTGAGGTAAACAATGTATGGCCTCCGCCACTGAATTAAAACATCACCACCAACTCTGTTTAACACGCATCTTACCGTCACTTGTCTCGTATTTGCTCAAAGTTGAAATCATATTTCTGTACATGAATTAACTGTTGTTTATTGGCATGGTTATTCCTCCTGAAGATAATACACGAATTTCCTTTTAAGCGATAGGTCTTTATAAAGCTGATACTGAGGTTAGTAACATTAGGTATAGTTATAGACACTTTTCAGATGATGATAGATGTCTTACATAATAATATGTGTGTAAATTACCATGGATAACCCAAAAAAATCAAAATGACTTATTTTTATTGGTGTTTGAGAATGTTTTCTCACCTTAGTAAAAAAATATGTAATGTTTACTTAAATTACATACATTATGAGACGTAGGAACTTACATTAAGTTAGAATGTGACTGTTGAAAAAGATCTTGGTTTGAGGTTCAAATATGCAGATCAATCTACTCTGTATTTCCGTATCTCTCTGGGTTACTACATGTCACTATACTTTTCTCTATAGTGTTAATACATTTTCCTGGAAAATTGATGGTAGTTAATGCATTATTTTCTTCAAAATTTCTTTATCTAGATTCTAGAGCATTCATGGCGGGCGTGTGCCCGGCCGGCACCAAGCCCGGGGGCGTGTGCCCGGCCGGCACCAAGCCCGGGGGCGTGTGCCCGGCCGGCACCAAGCCCGGGGGCGTGTGCCCGGCCGGCACCAAGCCCGGGGGCGTGTGCCCGGCCGGCACCAAGCCCGGGGGCGTGTGCCCGGCCGGCACCAAGCCGGGGGCTTTGTGCCCGGCCGGCACCAAGCCCGGGGGCGTGTGCCCGGCCGGCACCAAGCCCGGGGGCGTGTGCCCGGCCGGCACCAAGCCCGGGGGCGTGTGCCCGGCCGGCACCAAGCCCGGGGGCGTGTGCCCGGCCGGCATCAAGCCCGGGGGCGTGTGCCCGGCCGGCACCAAGCCCGGGGGCGTGTGCCCGGCCGGCACCAAGCCGGGGGCGTGTGCCCGGCCGGCACCAAGCCCGGGGGCGTGTGCCCGGCCGGCACCAAGCCCGGGGGCGTGTGCCCGGCCGGCACCAAGCCCGGGGGCGTGTGCCCGGCCGGCACCAAGCCCGGGGGCGTGTGCCCGGCCGGCACCAAGCCCGGGGGCGTGTGCCCGGCCGGCACCAAGCCCGGGGGCGTGTGCCCGGCCGGCACCAAGCCCGGGGGCGTGTGCCCGGCCGGCACCAAGCCCGGGGGCGTGTGCCCGGCCGGCACCAAGCCCGGGGGCGTGTGCCCGGCCGGCACCAAGCCCGGGGGCGTGTGCCCGGCCGGCATCAAGCCCGGGGGCGTGTGCCCGGCCGGCACCAAGCCCGGGGGCGTGTGCCCGGCCGGCACCAAGCCCGGGGGCGTGTGCCCGGCCGGCATCAAGCCGGGGGCGTGTGCCCGGCCGGCATTAAGCCCGGGACGTGTGCCCGGCCGGCATTAAGCCCGGGGACGTGTGCCAGGCCGGCATCAAGCCCGGGGGCGTGTGCCCGGCCGGCATCAAGCCCGGGGGCTTAAGGCTTATGATACTGGACACTTTTTTTTTTCTGTAGACTTGACATACCTTCTATTTTCCTTTCTTTTATTGGCATCTTAATTGTTTTGTTTTCCTCAGATGCGCCCTCCGGTCCCCCCCCTCCCCCTCTCTCACTGACCTCCATCTCTCTCTCTCTCTGTATATGTGTGTGTGTGTGTGTGTGTCGTGGCGAATAGGTAAAACTTGCGATTTGGGCTTAAATAGCAACACTCTTCTTGCCGAATAAGGCAAGCGAAAATTTGTGTACTTGGGGGTGTCGTTCAACTGGCTAACAGGTTGTGGCGAGACTTCTCTTAATGATGTCTTCGACCTCCTCGAGCCTAGCATACTTCCCTTCTGCTGTGTAACACACGAGGCCATGAAGTCCGAATTGATCAGCCGTCGACCTGCCGCAAATACACCTATGTACGGTGAGGATGGGGGCGGCTAGACGAAGTGCAACACCAATCCGAATGGTCTGTGGGTCGAGTCGAGTGCCCAGGGAGGAATTGGGAACAGCTAAAAGGAAATCTCCAGAGTGTGGTGCCTTCACCGCTAGGAGACGAGCTTTGTCCTTTCCTGAAGCGTTGGTGAGCATTGTGTTAGTGATTTTTTCCATTATCGGTTTGTCCCAGTGGGACTGTTTGTGCTCTTTGGGGGGGACTGGTCTGCTTATTATATGTATGTATGTGTGTATGTATGTATCGGTGGAAGATGGCCGACTTGTTGAATATATATATATATATATATATATATATATATATATATGCAATAAGATCACAGTAAACAGGTGATTTCAGAATATGCAAAACAACCACTCTGAAAGAATAGAGAAATTCCAAGCGCTTTCGTGACTACACCATTATCAAGGAAACTATGATAGCTCCTTGATAATGTGAGTAGTCACGAAAGCGCTTGGAATTTCTCTATTCTTTCAGAGTGGTTGTTTTGCACATATATATATATATATATATATATATATATATATATATATATATATATATATATATATATATATATATATATATATAATAATATATATATATCAACCACTCTGTAGTTTCTTTTGTACATATAAATATTTGTGTCATTACTGCTCATAAAGGACACAGTTCATCATCGTGAAGGTTCACAACAGTGTTCACCTTCAGTTTCTGATACACGCTTCTACACACACTAGAGAAATATACGTTAGTTTTAGATGTTTCGCTTGAGCGGCTAGTTTATTGTGCACCTCGTGCTCATCTTGTGAGGTAGGTAAAAAAAAAAAGTTAGAGCCACGTTTGTCAGACTACGATCATTACAATATAAATTTATAGAGAGTGCAGTACACACTGGTGACTTATTTTGTCCCTGAGCGAACTTTTCACCGCAAACACCATGCTGCTACATCGCACTTAATAACTTTTATTATATTAACATATTGTAATAATTAACTTATATTGATTGATCTAACTGGATTAATTTTATTACTATATTACTACTAGTGTTGTATTATTACTTATTATTTTTAAAACTCTTTCTCATACAGTAGACCAAACATTTTTAAGCATTGTGGACTGGAGTTCACCTGGAGAAGGTTTCGGGGGTCAACGCCCCCGCGGCTCGGTCTGAGATCAGACCTAATGGGGGATCAGGGTCTGATCAACCAGGCTGTTACTGCTGGCCGCACGCAAACTGATGTAAGAACCACAGCCCGGTTGGTCAGGTACTTTAGGTGCCTGTCCAGTCCCTTCTTGAAGACAGCCAGGGGTCTATTGGCAATCCCCCTTATGTATGCTGGGAGGCAGTTGAACAGTCTGGACACTTGTTGTGTTGTCTCTCAGTGTACTCGTGGTGCTCCTGCTTTTCATCGGGGGAATGTTGCATCTCCTGCCGAGTCTTTTGCTTTCATAGGGAGTGATTTTCGTGTGCAGGTTTGATACCAATCCCTCCATACCCTTACAAGTATATATTATCATGTATCTCGCCTGCGTTCCAAGGAATACAGATCAAGGACCTTCAACTGTTCCCAGTAATTTAGGTGCCTTATCGTACTTATGTGTGCCGTGAAAGTTCTTTGTACACTCTCCAGGTCAGTAATGCCGCCAGCTTTCAAGGCGGCCGCTAGTGTACGACAGTATTCCAGCCTTGAGAGAACAAGCGATTTGAGGAGAATCATCATGGGCTTGAAGTCCCTAGTTTTGAAGGTTCTCATTATCCATCCTATCATTTTCCTAGCAGATGCTGTAAAGTAAAAGGACACAAGTGCAACTAATATGACATTTATTGTGGCAACGTTTCGCTCTCCAGGAGCTTTATCAAGCCATTACAAACAATACATGGACACAGAGGGTATATAAAGGCTCAGAGTGAGGTGTAATACTAGTGAGGTACCATTTCGATGTTCACTAGTGGTAGTAGTAGTAGTAGTAGTGGTAGTGACAAAAGTAATACAATATGTTAGAGCAATTAATTCGTACATGAGTAAAAGGATATAAAAGCTATTACTTGGGTAACATAAAAATAGGTTGGACAAATATAGACTGGAATGAGGCAGCTTGTTTCAGTGTTCACTCTCTGTAATGTGCTTTGTGTAGTATAACAGGAGAGACTATGTGATGGCAGGGTTTACTGTTTTCAGGAGGATTCTTGCTAAGACTTCGGAGATGGTGAAGCTGCCGTTGTTTTGTTTAATTGTATTCGAAACAGCGATCAGTGCTGATTCGAGGCACTTGCGTCTGCGTAAATTAGTTTCTTTGATCACTAATTGGGCGTCTCTGAATTTCATGAGATGATTGGTGGAATTTCGGTGTTGTACACAGGCGTTGTTCAAGTTATCGTTCCTACATGCGTAAATGTGTTCATTGAGGCGGGTGTCGAGGTTTCTTGCTGTTTCACCTACGTAAATCTTGTCACAGCCTCCACAGGGTATAGTGTAAACTCCTGCATTGACTGGTTCGTGGTGCTTGGATTTTGTCCTGGTTATATCCTTTATTGAAGTGCTAGAAGCGATGGCGACTCTGGCGTTAGCTTGTGAAAGTACTACTACCACTAGTGAACATCGAAATGGTACCTCACTAGTATTACACCTCACTCTGAGCCTTTATATACCCTCTGTGTCCATGTATTGTTTGTAATGGCTTGATAAAGCTCCTGGAGAGCGAAACGTTGCCACAATAAATGTCACATTAGTTGCACTTGTGTCCTTTTACTTTACATATTGTCGGTAATTCTACCAAC